GGACCAATCGATCTGTTTTTTTTGTTCAATTTGCTTGAAGACATGCCAGGAAAGAAAGACCGATCAGTACTGAGAGCCATCCGCCTGATGCACAGAGAGGCTGGCGTATGACGAGAACAAGCCATTTCTGTTTTGTAAGATGGCAGTATCTAGTACTGTACAGCATTGGCACTGACAGTCAGTGGCCGCTAGTGCGACATCGAAACCAGTTGATATTTGGCAGGGCAAGGGCTACCGGCCACCTTGGTACCGACGCTTCAAGGCACGAGAAGCTTGATTCGGTGTTGAACATAAATATCAAATGCTAAAGTTTTGCACATGTTGTTGCTTGGAACATGTGCCTTTTTGTGTGCATTGCTTTGAGCTAGTGACTACTACGCGGCCCGTCACGGTAGCATCAACATCAACAAAGTTGAATTCGCTTCCACAGCGCAAGAGTCCAATCAATTCTTGCGCCCTTGGTTCCAGGACATTATCCGATCTGCAGTCCTCGATATACACCAGGACAGCAGTGGCCCCAATAATACATGTGACTTTAAGCAAGCAAATTATTTTTGCACAACCAAGCATCAGCACAAGCACAATCAAGCACACACACAAACATCAGTACGTGTTTGCATGTATTTTAGTTGGCAGGGCTGCTGGCCGCTGAACAAATCTCAACCTGATCTATTATTGAAGAGTTGCGAAAGCTTGTATGACTAGTGTTCTTGCATGAATCTTTGCCGAGGTCTAAACGCGCTCCGCTTTGGCATTTGCTTTGCCATGGCTTGGTTCGGACCTTGCTTCAAATCAACGACTTGGCGTATGTCATATGCCGTTGCATTGCAGATCCAACATGATTGGGAAGTCACCATAACGAAACCAGCGCCGTAAGTTTTGGTGGCATGCCAGAGGCCAGAAGCAAACACCACCTTACGAAAGTGTGATGAAGTAGGAGTAAAATGCAGTCTTTTTGGCTCTGAGTTTCACTGAGTGTTGAGTTTGTGGGATGAGGTCGCTATGCAGCTTGATCATGTCAATGATTCGTTTGGAACCCGGATGAACCCGGCATTAGGGAATGGAGGTCTCGTGTCGAGGCGCAGTATGGCAAAGCCGCGAAGCCTATATTTTTGGGGGTCACTGTAGAATTTATGTTTTCCGGAGCATGAATCACTGCAGTTTTGCACAACGAGAATTTCTGTGGAGATTTGTGGCTGTTTCGCAGACACGGTAAATATCTTGAGACCAGGAACACTACATTCAACCACTTTGTTTGTTTTGGTCCCAACTCTAACCACAAGGCTTACAGTGCAAAACAATAAAGGGGAAGGCTTATTCTTACTTTGATAGAAGCCCAGAAGCCTTCATCTTTTCACGGTGTTTATATAATGCGTTTACATGCAGGACTGAAGACTGTCAGGCTGATCCAGTGCCGCATAGTTTCCTCATGTTATCTTCGTTCATAATGATATTTTTGGCAGCAGGCTTTGATGGTTTCTTTGTTTAGTTTTTCCTTTGATTTCCTATCCATGTGAGCATGTGTGGTGTATTCTCACCTTTTTTTCACAGTTGATTTACTGTTGTGAGGCTTTTCCTCACAACTCAAAGCGAGCAATGTAGGCGCGCAGGGACGTGCGCTCCGGGCGGAATTGTGGGATCAAGACTGATCAAGGTTTCATGGCCACAAACGCTTAAAGCGTTGTGTTTTTGGTTTTCAGAAAGTGATGTTGTTGTTTCTCACTGTGGCCATTGTTGACCTTCCACGAGCTGTAATATTCTATATTCTCACTCTCGCAGCAAAATGTAACAATGTAACAGTACACTTTTGTAACACATTCAGAGTACCCCGACTCCTGAATGATTGACTTCAACTGCCCAAGAAGTGCACTTTCCGCAACATGCAGCAAACCTTGATTCATCAAGTGAAGGGCGACCACACCAGACCACACGCCTGTCCATTCCAGTTTGGGCCGTGGTGTAGTTGCAGTAGTAATTGCACGAGTGACATTTTGTTCAACTCACAGCGAACTGAACAGACTAGAAAAGCTAAGACCAAGCAGGTTGCAAAGGACAGCATGCTGTGTATGCTTTTTGTTATTATTTCCAAACGGAGATCCAGAGCTGTTGCCTTCGGTGCAAAGCTCTCAATTAGCTTGATCTGGGCCATGCCTTAACAACATTCAGCTTCTCTTTGTTTGCGCAGGAAGCTGACACGCATCAAGGCGTGTACATGGCTTGTGTGTGCATGCGCGTTTTGGTTTAATTAAGCATGTCAGTTCTGCAGAAAAAAATACATGATTTCTCCCCCTCATAGCATGCTAGCTGCTAGCCTCCTGACATGTGATGGATTCTGATGCCACTTACAATCTCCAGTTGCAATCTGCCATTTACGCACTTGTAAACCTCCCAAGGCTGAGGTTCTTTTCAGGGTTGGTACTGTAGAGTGATTTTGCTTGGAGGCCGGAGTGACTGAGCTGCGTGATCAGACTTTTGGTCCGTCGGTGAAATGTGCTTTGGGTCGCGTGCATCCTCAATGTATTAAATGTTGCCGCCTTCACGTTGTTTGCACTGGAAGATAAACACACTTACACCAATAACATGCATTAGCACATTTGGCATTATTTTGTTTGCTTTGCAGCCTTTGCCTATCACGATTGCCAGGGAGCAAGACATGGCCGGTGTATTCGAAGATAGCGAACACGCAAATCATGCATTCATTATTTTTTTCATATGGAGGAAAGACATGCTGAATTGCCATTCCCCAAGTGGCCAGTCCTTGAGACGTGACCGGAGCTGAAGAATGCACATGCTTTTGGGAGCAAACACAGCGGATGCAGTCCTTCAAGCACTTGACCGGCAGAGAGGAGTGTATCAGCTCCTGTCAGGCTCGTGTATCACCAGCCCTCAGTTTGGTGCAGTCCACTGCCAGATGGAATATCTCACGAGCTTGTTGCCAGAGAGAGAGAGAGAGGGAGAGAAAGTGAACGTGTAGACAAAAATAGAATTGCGCTTTATACCATAATCATAATATGTGCTTTTTTGCAGTTGTCTCATCGCCGCGAGGGCAACTCCATGTTCTATCGCAATAAATCAAATCGCAGATGTCAGAGAAGCAGACTGCACAGGTCAAGGGATGAAACCGCTATTCTCCTGTGACCAATCTACTGAGAACAACAATTCCACGAAGAGTCAAGGCTTTTCGCTGGTGGTGGTTTTGGACATGTTCTAACTGAAAGCGCTCAAGTGTTGACAAGATTCTGTTTTGCATTCCATATTGTGTGAACATTTGTGAGCATGCAGCTTGCAAATCAAGCAGTGATTGGTCACACTTTCATACTTTCCTTCTGCCTCGCGGAGGGATTGTTTCAGAGATGGTCATATGGTTACGACAATCTCGGCTGTTTTCAATATCCTGAAAAGATAAGCCATATTCCGGAGCACCAAAGTTGTTGTTATTCACAGCCACCAGCAACATGTGACCAGCGGAATCTGATTTGAAATGGTGCTGTTGGATCTCGACTGATGTGCATTGTGCATACTGGTGATCAGAGGACCTCTTGACTCTTGCTTGCGAAGTTGGCAGCAAATGTCGCCGTACCGCCTGCAAAGCATTGCAAACTTCAGCTGGAGCTGCTCAAACAACGTGGTGCGGACACCGGACCCGGCAGCCCAGGTGCTTCACTCTCAGCTCATCTCAGCTCGCCGCAGTTTGTGATATCCTGATGTGAGGAATGGCGCTGCGAGCTGCATTGAGGCGCTTGAGTTCAAAGCCAGCCTGGAGCTTGGAGCAGTGCAGAACAGAGACATCAGAGGGTCCTCCGGAAAGATCAGATCTCTCCTGAAAGAGTGCTCCTGCAGTTTCTGACATCAGAGAGTCTTCCTGAGGTGCCGCTGGGTATCCAAAATCAAGCGGCTTCTATTCGTGACTCGGCCGGCAACTTCTTCAACCAGGCGCGCTCTGAGGTGAAACTATGGTGACAGTTGCGCAGGACTGGGTTGACAGGAATGCGTAGAATGGTGTTCTTGGCAGCGCTGCTTTTGGCTCAAACTACTTACGCAAGGTTCTTCTTGACATTGAAGCACAGGCGGGACTATAACCTAAACGCCATATCCATGATCATCCATGTCATGTTTGTTATTAAAACGCATACTTTCCGCATCACCTGCAACACTCTGTTTTGGCCTTGAGGATGAAGTTCTTGAAAGCGGTTGCCTTTGGCTTCTCCAGCTTCACCTTGGTGGTGTCACAAGATGACGCGTGTCACACCTCTCACAAGGCTCCACTGAAAGTCTCAGTCGCAATTGCATAGAGCGTTAAACAAATTGATTTACAGTAGAAATCCTGCAACAGAGCAATACAGAACAAAATGTGTACACCTTGTTCAGTCGATATTTTTTCTGGAAAGGTGTCATTTAATTACTAGTTTACTGAGTCTTCCAACGCATCTTGGTTTCATTCTTTCGTTCTGCACGCAGATTGCCTTGAGCAGGCGAAGGCCGACTGTATGGGCGACTCCAAGTGTTCCTGGTGTGAGGCGTGACAGCCAGGGATTTTCTATGGCCAGCTCCAAGGACTAAAGGAACTGATGCCCTAAGGATTTTTCTGTAGTACTACAGTACTGAGACCTGAAGGTGCCAACGGTCAGAAGCACCTCTCCAACCTCACAACTGATTTGAGGGTGCTCTACTAGGGGCATCAAGTCGATCATCGAGAATGGTTCAATGACACAATCAAGGCGAGTCCAGCTTTGCAAGTTGTCCGGCCTGCACTTTCGGTATTGGTGGGGTGGCACGGTTTTTGTTCACAACGGGGCTACCTGGCGGCCTTGGGTTGGTGACATGTTGTAAACAGGGCGTGTTGGCTCAGCATGGCAGGCATCGGCAGTGCCAAGTGCATGCTACACAAAAGAGAACGTCACAGCCTAATTAAATGTCCAGGCAACAGCGTCAATGACATGAATATGTGCTGTGAAGGTATGTGAAACCTAGCTTTGAAGCTAAGGGGTTGCACCTCCAAGGCTGCAAAGCTTCCTCCTGCAGTCTTTACTTGCGCCAGCTCTCGCGCTCGCCGCTCTGAGTTGCTCCCACGTGAGGAGGCCACGCCTGATTGCTTGACCATTGGCTAGACAAATATGTTCTTTCAGCAAATTCTTTCGCGAGCGGAGGTATTGTTGGAATCAATTGGAATCACTTTTGTTTTTGGGCTCCCCGTTTGGCATGTCAGGCAGATTCGCGTATTGAGATTCAATTGGTTCAAACGCCCATGTTATGCGACTGATAAGCCAGATATAACATGTACAATGACAACCATGACAACATCAACATCGACAAGCCGCAGTGACAGGATGGACTGCAACATGCATGGCAACATGACAAGTTGCAGCGACAAGAGCAAAGACAGCAAAGGTGAGCCGCAACTCACAAAAGACAGTGCGCAGCCATACGTGACAATAGCAATATCAAGGTATGACTATATAAATATTGAAGGTTTCAGCCTGAAGACCTTTTTCAGGCTTGTGCAAAAGCGGCTTCCAACCGTCTCAGTTGGGTTTGTTTCAAGTGTCCGTTTTGGTACACCTTTCGTTTTGTGCGTGTCATCCTTTACGGACGTGCACTCCTCCTTGGTCTCTGCCCTTTTTGGCAGTAGACCAACCTCCAAAAAGCGAGCTCTAGGCTCAAGCCGCCTCAGGATCCGCAGACTTTGCACTGTCGGATCTCAGTCATCGGTCCCGTGACCGCATTGCACCGAGCATCGGTGTGGAAGTTGCCGAGCTGGTCCTCATAGATGAAGTTCGTCTCTCGAAGACTTCTCTGGCCTCTGGTGGCCCTTTGACAGGCTCCACACACCGGCTGTTCATGAACTCGGTTGGCCTTGCTCAATCCCCTGCAGCTCCGCTGTCTATGGAAGCACTTGCTGGACTCCGCGAACCAGATCTTCCACGTTGGCTCATTGGGGAATCGCCTCCTCCTCCCAGTCAGGGTGATCTGCAGATGATGCCCTCCAGGTAGGTCAGCTTGATTCGGCGGTTCCTCCTGTGGCTCATTCAGCGCGGGATCCGGTCTCCCTTGATGTCCATCTTCAATGCCTCCACTCATCCTGGTACCTCTTGGTGATGAGGATGAAGCACTCTGCCCTCCATGGTTCATTTGCTGCCATTCTCCATCACGTTGACGTGGTTCTCGATCTCCTCCTCCTTGAGGTCTGGTAGAAGTCCTTGTCCCGGAAGAAGATTGACCAGCCAAGCGAGAGACCCTCACTCTACGCGTCGCCGTATCGTCCTCCACCCGGTTCCAATGCAAGCGGCATTTTTGAATGACCTTCATGAGCACCATTCCCAGCAACATCATCATGACGCTGAGGAGGTACAAGATCTGGTCACCCTCCACATTCTCATCAACGTTCTTGGTGACATTCTCCGCCATAGCTCCATGCACTTCTTTGAGGGCCGACAGCACCACGACAAGCCTCATGGCCTTTTCCAAGTGGTACTTCGCGACCAATTTCATGGCACGAGGTGCGACAATGCCCTTGTCCTCCTCATGCACCTCGTCAACTGAGTCAGGCTGCCATGACATCCCCATCCGCTGTCTCAGCTCATTAATCCGAGCCACTGGCAACGCCTTTGTGCCGATGTCCGCGATGAGCTCTCTTCCAGGCTGGTACTTCAGCTCCCATTGACCAGACTGGATCCTCCATTTGAGGTGGGCGGCCCGTACCTTCAAGTGTCTTGTACGCCACGCTCCAGTTGCACAACTTGCTATTGAGACTGCAGCAGTGTTGTCGCACTTGAGGAACTTCGGGACGTCCTTCGCCATCTCATCAACCAGGCATGCGATGCTGTCCCCCACAACTACAGCTTCGATGACCTCTATGAGTTCGGCTTCCGCAGTTGAAAGGGCGGGGAACGGCTGCTTGCAGCTCTTCCATGCCACCGGTGCTCCGGCCACCGTCGTGATCACACAGCCATGGCTATGAGCACCTCCTGGAGCGAAGGATGCATCACTCACTGACTCCAGGATGAAGTTGGCGTCTCTTCGGTACCACAAGCCCAGGCCCTGCGTGGCATTCAAGTGCCTGATCAGCTGGTATGCGGTTTGGACCGCCCATTTCGGAGCCCGGCTCGTCGCTGAGCAGATTCGGCTGACCGTGTAGGCAATGTCCGGCCTCGTCTTCGTTGCCAGCCACAAAAGTTCTCCTCCGAGTTGTTGTGCCTCTCGGATCTGCAAGGGCGTGCGATCCAGCTCATCCTCGGGTTCCTGGGATTCCTTCATCATCTGAGCGCTGCAAAGGTCCTCCATGCCATGTCGCCGAACCACTTCCCTCAAGTAGGAACATTGATTGGCAAAGAAGTCTCCTTGTTCAGTTCGGCTCAACTCCATTCCACAGTACCGAACTGGTTCACGATCTCCCACCCACGTAGGTTCGGACGTCTCCCAGGTCCTTCGAAAGCTCTGGAGCCCTGCCCTCACAATCTCTTCGGTGCCGAAGAGCATCACATCATCCACGTACACCAAGGCGAGTCCCTCAACCTGGTCTCCATCTCCGGCATCCTTCCATCCTTCCGGCGCACCAACCACAAGTTCTCCTCCGCGAAGTTCTGTTGGTACTCATAGGTGACGGAGTTCGCCTGAAAGGACATCTGGCTGATCTCGATGTCCCTGTAGTCCCCCCAAAGCTTTGGAGACTCACGTAGGCCATACAGAGCCTTTTCCACCAGCCACATTTCCCCCTCCTTGACCAATCCCAGTCGAACGAGGATCTTTGGGGGGAGCATGAGCACCAGGCGTTTCCTTTTCGTGAGGTCCTCCTCCTGCTGCTCTTCCGTGGTTACCCCTTCTTGACCTTCGTGACCTCCTCCATCTTCTTCTTGATCCTCTTGAAGTCGTCCATGAGCATCTTCCAAGGCGAGGTTCTTTTTTCGGCTGCTCTCCTGAAGTGTTCGTAGAGGTGCGTTCAAGAAGGCAGTCTTGATGTCCAGGCTAGCCGCCTGCCAGCCTCGCGAAGCGGCCAGTGGCAATGAGGTCCTCAAGCATGTAGTGTCCGCCCCACCTGCATAGAGCTGAGCTGCTTCCGAACGGTCTCCAGGACCTCTTCCAGCTCCCTTCAGGTAGTTCCCGCACACCACCAGGCGGCATTTCCTTCGTCCGTCAGGGGCCTTCACCGCATGGATGGCCTTCCCTGGAACCACCTCCACCTTGTCTCCATGCTCTCTCTGGTAATAGGCCACTTCTGCGGGAGTCAATCTCCGGATCGCTTTCTTGCCCTCCAAGGACTGGATCTCTTTCATAATGGCTTCCAGCCAAAGGTTCCGGTCTTTGTATACCTCATCGTTTGGTACGATCCGTGTTTGGAGAATCTCGTCTTCCAAGAGTCGTTGGGTTGATGCCACCTGTTCTTGTCGTAGAGCAACCAGACCTCGGCTCAACGGAGGAACTTCTCTTGGAGCAGCTCCCAACAAGTGACCCTCCTCCTCATAGACGGCCTGAAAGAGCATTCGACGATCCTCCTCCCTCCGTAGGTCTTCTTCTCCCCGTATGCATGCCAGTGGTGTCTTCTCTCTCAACCTCCAGCGAAGCCGTACAGGGTCGTCTTGGATATGGACCTCCTCCATGACCAAGTCTCGTTCATCAGGCTTAGGCTCTTTGACATCCTTTATCAAGTAGCTCACTACCTTGACCTTCTCCTTGTCCGTGAGAACCGCGTGCCCTTTAGACACTTGCGGTGTAGGGGTCAGGTAGGTCACCATCTCGGATGTCGCTTCAAAAGGTCCTCCTCGCTCCCAAGCTCGTTTTCTCACCGTGATGAGCTGTCCAAAGCGTGGAAGCGTCTCCTTGATGTTCTCCCTTCTCCTTCTTTCCAGCTCCGTGACATGTCTCGCCGCTGCCGGCCACCACTTCGTGGGCATGCCCGAAGCATGTAGAAGTCGACGGACCCTTTGCTTGATCGACGCGATCATGGCCTCCGCACGACCGTTGGATTGGTGTTCATCTGGAGGACTGAAGGTTCTTGCCAGCCCCCTCTCCAAGCACCACCTCTTGAACGGGTTGTTATCAAACTCCCTGCCAGCATCGGTGTGAATCCTAGCCACAGGGTAGCCATGGCGTCTCAGCATCCCAAACAGTTCTTGTGTTCCAGCAAGGACTTCCGCTGCGCTCTTCGAGGCTAGTGGTAGGCAGATAGACATCGTGATCATCTCGTAGGCCTTCTGGTGCTCTTCGACTTCCTCCGGAGTCTTTGGGAGCGGCACCGATGGTGGTTCGGGTTCACAGGGTCCTGTATCAGGTAGCGGCTCTAACTGGTCACCGCCTCCTCCGCCCTGCCCTTCGTCCTCCTCCGGCTCACCCATCTCCAGATCTTCGCCCTCATCTGACGTAGGTCTATAGGACATCTCCTCACCATGAGCTTCCAGATCTTGAGCCAGGTCATACTCCACCTCCCGAAGAGCCTCCTCTTCCTCGAGTGTAGGCCAGTCCTTGTCTGGGATCACCTCGAGCTGTTCGACCTCGTCCCATGGTGCCTCCTCCATGACCGGCCACGTGTATGCTCCCACCAGGAGGTACTTCTTGAGGTCGCCGTCAATGTCATGGCCGAGCACAAATGGTCCTGTCAGATCCAGCGACAGCACGCACGGAGCCGCTATCCCTTGAGCTCGATGTGGTCGATCCCTTGCCGCTGCTCTCTGACAGACAGCGCAGTCTCTGCGGAACGGCACATGCCCCTGGGCCAGGTGTTCCTGCCAAGACAAGGCCTTCATCGTCACCCGCCTCTTCTGGATGTTGACTGTGATGCTTCTTGCGATCTCTCGCATCATTCCTGGGGCCCATCTCGCCAGCTCGGAGCTCGACACCTCATGCTTGGTCTTCAGGAAGGCCTTGGGCGGGCCCCGATCCTCGGGAACCATGAACTCCATGTTCAATGCCAGTGAGGTAGGTTTCACCGCCATACCACCATAGGCACCCTGGTTGAAGGTCACCATGTCCAAGTTGAGATGCTCTTTCATTACCCTCCACTCTTCGGTTCTCCAGAAGGATGCCACTTCCGGCATGTGCTGAGGCGCTGCAGGCTGCTCCATCAAGAACCTGACCGTCGGCAGCAACGCGGAATTCTTCTCCTGGGACAATCGTGCATCTCGACCCAGCTTTGCCACCACATAGAGCGTCACCATACGCAACAGCAGCACATCGTCCAAATGGCACTTTGCCCTCTCCACTTCATCCAACTCGTCCAAGCCCCAGGGTCTTCCCAACGATCTCGATGGCCCTGGCATTCCCGTGACTGGATGGTGACGTAGCTCACTGCGGGTCCTGCAGTTGGGTCCACCGATCACCGCATCAATCCAGCCCAACATCGCAATCCGTAGCAGTGCTGCATACATTGCATCGTCCTTTGACATGTCATGACTTTGGGTTCGAAGGATATCCACCTCCAACAATCTCGTAGTGTCTCCGCCAGCCTCCTTGAGAGCCCTTGTGAGATCGTAGCCCTCATTCTTCCCAGCGTAGAGATGAACCACCACACCCTCATTTCTCCAGCGCTTGCGGATGCGTCGATTGACTCCAAGGACCTCAAGATTCCTTGCTGGAGAGTCCACCAGGCGATCCTTGATTCGGATCGGGACCTTGTCGAAGATCGGACAATCTGCCACCACCCGGTCCAGCCAGTCGACGTCATTGTGAGTCTCCCCAAATCGGTAGCACCTCAACGCCGTTCTCGACCGAGATTCCTCCAGCTCCCTGATGAGGTCCAACGCAACATCATGGTCCATTTGAGGGCATCCAGCTTCAACCCTGAGGTCAATGTTGCCCTTGACTGGATGCTCCAAGGTGCACGCTTCCCCTACCCATTCTATTCGACATCCCAGATCGCGAACCAGCCTTCCCGCCGGTACAATCGGCTCCACATTCTCACTGTTGTGGACCAGCGTCTCCCCTTCTGTCATTCGGATGTCTTGTGCTCCTCCAGCAGCCAACGTCACCCTCACCTTGCGATATCTCTGAAGATCTTCTCCTCGGAGCTTGGGCCTCAGAGCGTGCGTTGCCCCAGAATCCAGAAGTCCTTCTCGACCTTGTTGGACTCGAGCTATCTTGACTGCCCGTAGCTCTGGGCCACCTTTCTCCCATGCTCGATTCAGCTTCTTCAACGTCGCACCAAGGTCCGTTGCACGATCTTGCCCTTCTTCTTCGAGGTTCATGCCCTTGAGCAACTTGTGCGCCTCATCAAGCACATTCTTGATTGGGTCTGCAGTTCTTGTCGCTGTATCCGATACCGCCTCCGAAGTCACCGACTGCGAGGATGCTGCTTGAGGAGAAATTGAAGCCCCCGACTCACTCCGCGAGGTCCCATTTCCACCACCACCGGTTTTGTCCAGCAGCTTCTGAAGCTTCGGTTTCTGGCCAGATGGAGGTCCTTCTCCCTTCTTTGCCGTCTCTTTCCTCGGACAGTCTCGAGCCAGGTGCTGTGTGGCCCCGCACGTGAAGCACCTCCTCTCCTGGTTCTGCTTGTCGCCAGTCTCCAGTTGATGTGCCCATTTGCACGACTGCCCTCTTCGACATCCAGACTCCGTGAGGAAATATCGACAAGGACCCTTCGCCGATGTCGTTGGCGAGTCCCCCTTCTTCTCTCGATCTTCCCCTTGAAGTGCCTTTACTGCCAATGGTCCACCTCCCTGATTTCCAGGCCTCGTAGTGCTCGAAGACGGTCGGACTCGGTGCATGAGTTGTTCAAGTTCAGCGAGCAAATGCTCAGCATACGTCCGAACAGTCTCCTCATTGGGGATGGTATCAAGCTGCAAGGTGTTTTTGACCAAGGCACATCTGAATTGCAGATCCGGTTGTTGAGTGAGGATCCGCTTGCTAAGTTTGTTGATGCCCTTCATGAGGATGATCGCATCAGGGAGATTCAGGCCAATGTCGGTGGCCCTCCTGAGCCAGCGCATCCAGCGTCGGAGCCCCATGCAGGCTTCGCTTGGCGACCCTGCTTCTGGCGGATCTTCAAGTTGCCGCAGGATGATGGTGCGCTCATGAGCACCCCCTGGTTGATAGAGGACCATGAGTTTGCTCACCAGCCCCAGCGGTGACAAAGTCCTCGTTGCTACCAGTTCCTCCTTCACTGTCGTGGGAACTGAAGAAAGCAGCATGCTGATGGCCCTCTTCTCCACTCGAGCCCACTTCGGCTTTTGCAACTCAGCAGACGGCTCGATCTTGGATGATGCCCGCTGAATTGGACGAAGCTTGATGTACTGCTTGTACCAGGCCCTTGCTTCGCTCACCACCAACTCCCACCACTCGCCTGACGAGTCGCTAAGATCTGTCATGGCCGGTTCCACCATAGTGAGCCAGTCAGCAAGGTCGATGGGAGCCGTATCGGATGGCTCTGCCAGGACTGGGAGTGTGGCCGTCCCCGGCTTGACCGACTCCGGTCCTTTTTGCTTCTTGTCCTTGTCGACCAGGTAGGTGATCAGCATAGACATCGCATCAGCCATGCCACCACCGCGCTCTCTTGATTGTTCCTCCCGAACATTTGCAGTTGAAGATCGACCAGGCTGCTCGGCTGTGGCTTTCTTCTTTGGCTGACCCACACCTTTCCCGGTCCCTTGTCTCCCTTCCGGTTCGAAGCCCTTCGCCCGAGATGCCACCAAGCCCTCAGGTTGACCTCCTCCCTGACGTGCAGTTCTCGGACCTTGAGATCTCGACCTCTCTCGTTGTCCTTGCCCCCGACCACCTCGCTTTGCTGGCGCCGGAGTGACCGTCCCCATCAAGGATTGGAGTTGCTCGAACTGTTGCATGGGAGTCAACTCGTACAGTCGGCGTCTTTCCACCTCCAAATCTGTCTCTCTCGGAGGTTCGTCGACCGTCAATTCCAGCTGACGATTCACAGGCTCATCGCTTTCTGGCGTTCTAAAAACCTGCTGCTCCAGCTCACGTTGTAGATCATGGACCTTGGCTTCCAGGCTTGCCCTCTGGTACTTCATGGCATCCATGAGCTCTGCCTGCTGAATCTGCAGTTGCTGATTCTCCTGCTTCAGCATCGCCAACATGGTCATCATCTCCTGTGGATTCGGTGGACCAGGGCCATAGGGATGCAACTGAACTTGCCATCCTCCTTGATGCGGCATAGGTCCCCTCCTCTCTTCATGGGGCATGATGTACCCAGGTGGGCCAGTTTGTCCAAAGCCTCTTGGAACATGTAGACCTCTTCCTCCAGGCCCGTTCCCTTGGATCTGAACCACCGATTGCTCTCTAGGTTGGGGAGGTTGCCGCCCATCGCTGTCACTTTCAGGCTCTTGTACTTCAGGTACCCGTGGTTCTCTTGTTCGTCCACGTCGCTGGTCATCTGGTACATGGTCGCCCACCAGTGCCGGTGATGGTGTCCCCGTCGTCGTACTCGTCTGTGGAAGCACTCCCACTGAACCCTCTTCTTTCGGTAGGAACGTGGGTCTCTCTTTCTGCACCTCCTCTGGCGACCTGTTCCCCAGACCAGGCTGCCAGATGCTCTGCCTCGGGACTTGAGCATATAGGTGAGGAGCTTGGCTCTGCACTTCATGAAGTCCCTTCAACTGTTCCGGCGTGAAGAGTGGGGTCATCGGCGTCAAGGTCGTAGGTGGTCTCTTCGGGCCTTCCAATGTCTCCTCTCCCCCAACATCTTCACCATCCTCCAGAGCAAGCTGCTCTTCTTCCAGCTGCCGATCATGTAGTGGGAGGCCTTCCGGATCGGCTTCTTCTCCTTCTCCATCATCGCCAGGTTGCCGTCTTCGTCGGCGAACCATCATGGCCATGGCTTCCGCTTGCGCAGGGCGGCCCAGCGATCGACCTCCTCAAGCTGGGTCTTACACCTTCAACCTTGGGCTCATAACCTGAAGGTTTCAGCCTGAAGACCTTTTTCAGGCTTGTGCAAAAGCGGCTTCCAACCGTCTCAGTTGGGTTTGTTTCAAGTGTCCGTTTTGGTACACCTTTCGTTTTGTGCGTGTCATCCTTTACGGACGTGCAAATATAATGGCAAGATTGGTCACCAAGGCAACACCAACGGCAGGACATATAATTACATTATATTACATTTATATATATAGTATATATTTTTAGCACTGCCGACACGCCACAATCACGATGAGAAGCACAAGCCGCAATGGCAACAGCACAAGTCACAACAACAGCGCAACAAAAGCAAGCCATAGTGACTACATTGCTGGGAAACTACACTGGCCAACAGCACCTAGGAGAGAGTGGCAACAGCAGCCACGACGCACCACACACATTGCACAGACTTGTCACAATGACAACAAAAAAGATCACAACGACAACATAGATGACCAGCTCAAATTATTCAGCACGATGACGACGTCAATGAAAGCAGCTGCCTAGTTTGGAGGGTTACGGCTTAGGAGGGTTGAAACTTAATACACAACAGAAACACTGCTGCCGGGTCATGTTGTTGTCATCATGCTCTTTTTTGTTGTCACTGCGACAAGTCTGTGCAATGTTTGTCGGTGCGTCGTGGCTGCTGTTGTCATTATCTCCGAGGTGCTGCTGCTATTGGCCATTGTAGTTTCCCAGCGATGTAGCGCTAGTGTTGTTTTGTTGTTGGTGCTGCTGCTGTTTCCATTGCGGCTTGTGCGTCTCATCATAATTGTGGCTTGTCAGCGGTGCTAATATAAGTATTTCTTGTAATAGTTTTATATGTGTCCTGCTATTGCTGTCTTGCTAGCCTGTCAGTGCTCGTGTTTTGTTGGCCTGCCATTGGTACCGTCATCATGTTTGGCTTGCCTGACGACGTCAATGACAGGCCCCCAAATGAGCCAACCTGGTTACAGCTTCAAGTTAGGTTTAGTGGGGATAGCTTGAGGGGAGTAAATTTGGAAAGTGTTGTGCAAAACGCTCATTGTTTGTTTTATCTTACAGTGTGGTCTCCGAGAAATTGCAGTCCAGGCTGAGAAGCTTGGTGTGGTGTGGCGAGGAAATTCTTCCAAGCAGAGCCGGAGAGCCAAGGGAGCATGACGGTCAAGTCTGAAAGATGTGTTTGTCACCTCAAGGCTCTCATGAGTTGCTCGAAGCCACTGACATGCCATCAGATTTCAGCTGGTGCAACAAGGATGGCAAGTCCGAGGCTTAGCACAAGGAGACACAGCTTATGTATGATTCCGTATTGCATATGAGTCGTTTTCAATATTATCGTCATTTACTTTATACAAGGGCGTTTAGGGCGTTTCATCCAAGAGTGTGATTTTGGGTTTCGCTTGGAAAATGATACGGGACGTCCAAAAAACGATACCTCTATTGTTACATGCATTAGTTCCTTGAGTTTTTTTGAGTTTGTTTTGGTATGTCGTCCTGCTACAGCAACTCTTCTGAGCATTTGTGCTCAAGGGTCTGAAGGGCGTCACTTCATAAACCTGTGTGTTCTTCCTAGTGACCTAGTGTTCACAGCCACTACCACTACCCCTACCACTACTACTACTACTGCTGCTACTACTACTACCACTACCACTACTACTAGCACTAATACAACAACAACAACAACTACTACTACTACTACGACGACTTCGACTTCGGCTTCTACTTCTACTTCTACTTCTGCTACTACCACCATTAGTACTCCTTCTCCTACTACTACTACTACGACGGCGACGGCGACGACGACGACTACTACTACTAGCACTACTACCATTACTACTACTCCTACTCTAGTCCAACTCTTACTCCTACTACTGCTACCACTACTACTACTACTACTACTACTACTACTACTGGTACTTCTACTACGACGTACCACTACTGCTACTACTACTACTGCTACTACTACTACTAACAACAACAACTACAACAACTACTACTAACAACAACTACTACTACTAACAACAACTACTACTACTAACAACAACTACTACTACTAACAACAACAACTACTACTACAACTACTACTACTACTACTAGTACCACTACTACTACTACTACGACTACTACTACTACTACTACTACTACTACTACTACAAGGCCTCAATATTTGTTGAGTCCCTTTTTATTTCTCTTTTGATCCCCGTTGAATATGTTTGATTTTTTTGTGATCCCTTACCCCTCCAGTGTTTTGTTGTTTGTGCGCTTGTGTTTGCACTTTGTTTGTCATGGTCCGTGACGTTCATTGTTGGTGGCAAGACTCCACCATGCGAATCATGTAAAGCCTGCAAAACGATACATACAGTGCTCATTCTTCCAAACATTGTAAAACGATACGGGACGTCCTAACTTTGAATGAATACAGCTTAAGCAAGCAGTTTCGAAAACAACTCATATATATATATATCTTACACAACTTGGCACCCTATGTCGTTCCTTTCTCTTGCTCATTCCTCCTCTCATCAGAATCCGAGGAGCTACTGCACCATGTCCAGGAACCAGCACATCCCCCAGGAGAGTGCGGGAGTAATTATGTTAAGTTGAACGGAAGAGCAAGTGTGCAGCTGTCAATCTGAGCAACATGTTCCGACCTCAGATGCGAGATGACGTGTAGATTTTACAGTTTGTACAACGAGGCCATACTAAAATTGACTATGTTGGATCTTAAATGATCGCCTCCACCCGCTGCCGAAAACAACTGTGGGAGAATTGGTGAGATAGCCGCCCATGGCAGTCCTAGTCTCAGTGGAAGGTGGTCGTAGTCGTAGGCGTAGGTGGTGGTAGTGGTGAAGTAGGTAGGGGTAGGTAGGAGGTAGGAGGTAGTAGGTGCTGGTGGTGGTAGTAGTAGCAGTAGTTGATGTGGTAGTAGTAGTAATAAAAATTGGTATTTAGTAGTTAGTAGTAAGTGGCTGATAGTAAGTAGTATACAAGTGGTAAGTAGTAAGTGGTAAGTAGTAAATAGTAGTAGTAGTAGTAGTAGTAGTAGTGGTAGTGGTAGTGGTAGTGGTAGTGGTAGTGGTAGTGGTAGTGGTGGTAGTAGTAGTAGTAGGAGTAGTAGTAGTAGTAGGTAGTAGTAGTAAGTTGTAGTAGTCGTAGTAGTAGTAGTAGTAGTAGTAGGTAGTAGTAGTAAGTTGTAGTAGTCGTAGTAGTAGTAGTAGTGGTAGTAGTGGTAGTGGTAGTAGTGGTAGTAGTGGGGTAGTAGTAGTAGCAGTAGTAGTAGTAGTAGTCGCAGTAGGAGTAATAGCAGTGGCAGTGGCAGTAGCAGTAGTGGTAGTTTCCAGGAGGTGTTTGTTTATAGTAGTAACTAGTAGGTAGCAGGCAGAAGGCAGTAGGTAGCTGGTCGCAGGTAACA